TTTTTCTTTTTCATTTGTGATTGGAGTAGTTTCTGCTTCAGATAAGGGTAAATAAAAAACTGTTGGCCCAGGTGGTGTGATATTTGAACAATATCTCAATCAATCTGATGTACGGGGGTCCAAGTCGATTAGAAGATGTCCAAAAGAGTCTCTGGTAGCTAATTCGTAACAGTTTCTCAAAAATTTTGATACATTCAATTGTCTTCCTAAAAGATCTAGTTGCTGAACGTCGCGAGGCGATTTGAACAGAATGATGTGTGAAGTGTTCAAATCAATCGTACGCGACCATCGACTTTGTTGAAACAAGTTATGCTTAACATATATTACATCTATCCCTCTATGTCTACCCGCTGTCGCTAAGCTAACAAATTCCTTGTCATTATAGATGTCTTCACATGAATCATCGAAAACTAGAAGAACATTTTCTAATTTTCTCACAGATTCGAATCCGTCGAATTTCTTGAACTCCACATTCACTTCGCGAGAAGACACTTTTTCTGAGAATGCAGGTTGCATCTCTTTGTAAAGATATAGAACGGTTCCAAATTTAGGGTAAAAAGTATTTCCCATCAGAAGTTTCAAAATTAACTCAGTTTTCCCGGATCCTGAAGGTCCCACTATCGCCATATAAATATTCTTGTCGAAGTATCAATCACTTTATTCATATTCTTGGGTTTGGTAGTACGTAACCAACCAAGCCTGATAAAATTGAGAACCAAACTGACGTTTCTTCGCAACTTAATTTAGTGAAAGAAAGTTTGAGAATGCAGAAAGTTAGTAAAATTAGAATTACTACCATTTGCGCAACAAAAACTACTTCAGACCTTGGCAAAGTTACATTGTTACAAAACTTCCATGATTTTTTTTCACTGTTTGTCTCGTTATAAACAAACTCTGTTACTAATGTTGCGTCAGGTTCATCTACTGCTGTTGTTGCTTCTGACATTTGAGAAACTATTTATTCTACAGACTGTGTTAGACTTTCTCTCTGTGAATGAAGCTTGTAAAAAATTAAATTACTTTGAGAACAGTAAAAAATTTCATAACGTGTGAATTCTCTATCATTTATGTCATGCATTTCTAAAACAAAGTTTGCTGGGATATTTGCAGTTTTTTAGTAGTACATTATTTTCTTCACAGTATCCTCTTTCACAATCGTCTTAATCTCATCTGGCAATTCACTGCTGTTTAGATCCATCTGAACTCCTGGCTGACGTTTGGGTACTAAGACTAGTTCGCGAAGATATACTCCTCGCTTGCTGGCTAACATTTCTGATAAACTTGAATCTCTGGAAGTATACAAATTGATCAATAACTGGAAAAAACCTCTTCAACGTAGACAACTCTTCTTCGGAAATTATTATTTGCTCCTTCCTCTGAACAATTTGGCCACTACAATCAATACGCTCTATTCTCGTTAATGAAATTTTAATATCACCCTCTGGAGTCATCCACGCACAAAGCATTGAATTTGGTGATAGGTATGTCTCCACTTTCGCTGATCTCTCGCTGTTGTTCATTTTTCAACCAATCATAAAAAACCTTGGTTTTCTTCAGGGCAAAATGATTCCTGGAGTTGTAATGTGGAATGTGTTTATTGCAACTTGGATAATTTTTAAAATATAAGTTTTCAACCCGAGGACAGCCCAAATCATCTAGGTTTTCAATCTTTCGGTCCAAGTACTTGGCCAAAAATTCTGTCTTTTCTTTTCCTTTAGCGTAAAAAACGGCACCGGGATTTCTCAGCACAAAACTCTGAAGTATTTGATTCAAGTTTATGTAAAGATAATCACCGTTTTCCCAATGGAGACCGTGTAAATAATTTGTTAACCAGTTGTAAGCTTTTTGTTCAAGCTTTGGTAGTATATTGAAATTCACTGGAGGTAGGAAAATGAGTCGATCGCTGTAGTCTGAAGTTGTTATTGCTAATTCTTTAACCACAAAGGCGTTTTTCTTGTAACGAAAGCCTTCCACGTCAAGCACAACTGATCTCTCGCCTAGCATTCTAGTAAATGATAAACTTCTGGTTTTTTCAACTTAATGAAAAGGCAGAACGCTATTCCACTCAAATGTCCCAATAAGATGTTGTTACAGTTCCAGGGCAAAATGTAACAGTACGTGGGACCCTGTTGATAAAATTCGTGTATAAATCCGGCCGCATCGTGCAAAATAGCGTGCAATCGTAAAATTTTGGAATTTTTCAAGTATTTGTCCAAGGAAGAGTTATCAATACCAATCAAGCCACCATAAGGTCTCAACTTAATTAAAATGTCGTAGTTAAGGTTATCAGAACTAACAAAAAACAGAGAAGATGCAGCTAGAAAATAGTTGCGTCGGTTAGAATTATCAGGATAAGTTTGTTTCAAAGACGTATAAATTTCGTGAATTATTTTCAAATCAATAGGAGTTACTCTGCTTTTTTGCAATTTCATTATTTATTTTTTCCAACACCTCGCCAACCTGCTGAATTTCAAGCCAGTGGAAATAAAAGTGACCTTGCAAATACCATTTAGTCTCATTAAGATAACGGTGGTAAATAATTAAATAAACCACCGGAAGTTTTTTGTATTTTGATAGCTTGTTGAAACATAGACGGATTTTTCTCTCCAAGTCTTTATCAACCCTTTTTGAGGTAAAATCAAACGAATAGTCGAATACGTTTTCATAATCAGCAAAATTCAAATCGCTCACAGTACCATACTGTTGTTTTGTAGAAATGCACCAAGAGATTTGTTGAAGCTCACTCAAATAAAATTGTTCTTTGAAAATTAACTCGTAATCTTTCTTTGAAATTTCCTTTGCCCTTTCGAGGAAGACGACGTAGCGTTCATTACTAAATTTGAAAAATGAGTTTTTTTCTGCGGTTGAAAACACTCTTAATTGTAAATGCTCATTATCAATATCTTCAGTACACCAAGTTCCCTCTAATTTCATTTTTCTTATTTCAAAATTTGTCAAATTTATCATTTGGTATATTTTGCCCAGAAACGGCCGCCGCCTTTTGAGAGTAATTTCAATTTACTGCCTTTTCACCATAAAATTTAGGTCAAGTTAAGGAATTAGTTTACTGCTGCCAACAGTTAAGCTACGCTGCCAAAATGGCCGGCGAATTTTTATTATATACCATAAAAGTCAATTCCCCGTTCACTAACAAATTTCAACTAGGTCGAAAGTTCATTTACCCTAAACAAACATAACAATTAATATGATTCATATAATTAATCAGGACCAATAATTAGGACACCAAAATTTGGAATTAGAAAGATTTTTGTATCGTGTCCCTTGTTGTTAAGCTAAACTTAGCAAGATCCTAAGTAGGGGGTCTTCTGCTTTTTGGGTGGAAAATCTCTTTCGTTTACAAAATCCTAGGATAGCGGTCCTCCAAAAAATTAAGGACCCCTTTCCTAGGATTTTGCTTTACGTGAGGACCCCCCCTTAGGAAGGACCCCCCCCCCCTTAGGATCCGGGACACGATACAATACTACTCTCCTGTTAATTTGTCAATTAACTAGCAACTCGGATTTTGAATACGCTTTTTTGTTTTGTTCCAAATTAAATGGTTTGGGTTCATCTTTTTTTGGCTTAATCTTTTTTGTGTCGTTGGAAAGGCAAAAACTGATAGTTATTTGAAAAAACCTGGTGGGTTGTGGTGTAAAATTTTTTCATCTAAAATTTAATCGGTCAAAGTCTTATGACAATTTCCGATAGCAGTTTTTTAGTTTCCCGCTCATACTTGTCGGCCTTGTGGCCCCTCGCTCTAACAAGCAATGCTTTAGAAATTGAGACGACGCAAAATAAGCAGACAATCGAAAGTCCCACAGCTCAATTCTGGTTTCCCGGAAAAAATTCAGTTTCATACATACTGAAAAAAAAATCGTTGAAAAACGGTCGGGGCTCGAAGGAGGGCGCAATTTTGAAACCCACTTTAATGCAAACAAATTACACCATACTATTTCTTATGAAACTCTGATATGTTTGGCTTCGTAGTTTTGTCTAAATCTAACCCAATCCGAGAATTCATTTGTTGTCCAGTTTTGTTAGTTTTGAGCGGTTCATTCAAATCGGCCTTGTACCCATTGAAGCTACTGAAGTAATGTGAAACTTCTGTGAATGGGTTTTCGAAAAAAGTTTTTAATATAATGAGTTTCGAAGTAATTAAAGTTGCATTGGTGGCTGAAATTTTTGGATCTCAAATCTGGTAACCTAATTTTCATAAAAAGTGTCTGTTGATTAAAAATTCAAAAAGGTTCGTCTGATCATCGACGTTTGTCACGAGCGAAAACCTATCGCTGACATGAATACTGTATGAGAGTTTCCGAGAAGTCTTTTTGTTACCGGTACAACTGAATTAAACAGCTATTTGACTTTTTTTGCATAAAATAATTAGAAAAAGTATTTAAACTTTTACACGCTCACAAAAGATTTTGTGCAGTTTGATTTCTGAATTGTTCTTAAGTTTTCTAAAAGGAAGACCAACTACGCCTTCTAATTACGAAAACGCAAAAGGGCGCAAAAAACGTGATGGGGCTTTATTTTTTTTTAAAATTCCCAGCTAAATATAAAATTAACAATTTCATCTAGTTTTTTTTTTGGTTTGCTTCTATGGAAAATAATGTCGACCATTAAAAAAAAAATTCCCCCAAAAAATGTCAGCCATTTGTTTCCTTGTTCATTGGATTTTCGAACTGTCTGTTGGTTATGTTTGAGATTTCGTTTTGGTTCAGATCCCGGAGCAGCATATGCCTTGTGCTTATAAAGCTGTATGAAAGCGTTCATTAATCAAACACTCTGGACGTTTCAAATTTCGATTGATGGACATAACTATTTTTTTCTATGTTTATATCCAAGTTGAGAGCTCAAATTTAGCGATAGTTCTAGATCTGAGTGAGTGTGCTCGACGCGCTTCTCGGGGGTGAAAAACATTAACAGCGGAGTTGAAAATAGGACAACTGTTTTGAACCTATAGCTTCAATCGCAATATCTATTTATCAACTACTTTTTTTTCAGTTGATTTGAATGTAAAGTATCTTAATAGTGTTGATAGTGATGCCTCGTGAAATCATCACTCTGCAGCTGGGCCAATGTGGCAACCAGATTGGCATGGAGTTCTGGAAGCAGATCTGTGCGGAACACGGAATCAACCCACACGGCATACTGGAGGAGTTCGCCACAGAGGGCAATGACCGGAAAGACGTCTTCTTCTACCAGGCAGACGATGAGCACTACATACCCAGGGCAGTCCTGCTGGATCTAGAGCCCAGAGTCATCAACAACATCAATGTCAGTCCCTATATTAAAGAGTTCCGACCACGTCAAGAAGTGACTGGAAGAAACTATGGCGTAGAGCAGGGTTTTTCTGCCTAATTTTAGGTTTTGCCAAGAAAACTCTTTGGGGGTTGAGTGTGGTATCTTTTTTTACGACATCACAATATCAAATTTTATTCATTTTTCAAAGTTTCATTTGAAAATCAAATTCTGAAGTTTGTTTTTCTGATAATTTCATTTTATTCATTTTGACTTGACATTTTGTTGGTTACATCTTAAACCTGGCCAATAAGTTTAATCCGTTTTTTGGCTTGGTTGCCTATTTATTTTTGTCGTTTTGAAAAAAATGTGTTTTCGTGGTCCTATAATTTATCTATTATATATTTAAATGCGGCCTTCACTATCTCGCCATGCTTAAGCTTTTTCAACGTATTATTTTTGCATGTTTAAGCTATATCGTATATTGCAAAGGTTAAGATTTTTTTTTCGATTTTCCAGTTTGATTTTAGTGGTTATTTTACCGAGTTTAAAATAATCCACCCAATATTGGGATGCTGTCCGGATTCACCAAGGCGTTGCAAATTTGGCCTCCAATTTTGAATGGCCAAATTTATTTTAGTTAACGAGATAAGACGATTTTGGTGATTTTTTCAAAAAATATTCAGAAAACTTATCTTAATTTTTTTTCGCAAAAGCTGAAATTCCCAAACCCTGTATTTGGTTTCTGCCAGAGTACTCTCAGGGATTCCAAGTCTTGCCTCCAAATATGACTGCCCAGTTCTTCGTAGTTTTCGAGATATGAAGTTTTATGTGATTTTTTCAAAATTTTTTTTTAGAAAACATGAATTTTTTTTCTTTCAAAATTTGAAATTTCCAACCCTGTAGTTGGGTACTGTCAGAGTACTATTAAGAATTGCGAATCTTGTCTCCAAATATGACTGCTCAAATCCTTGTAGTTTTTCGAGATGTGACGTTTTTTTGTGATTTTTTCAAAATTTTCAGAAAACCTAAATTTATTATTTTTCAAAATTTGAAATTCCCAACTTTGTGGTTGGGTGCTGTCAGGGTACTCTAAGGTGTTGCAAATCTTGCCTTCAAATATGACTGATCAAATCTTTGAATATTTCGAGATATGACGTTTTTTGTGATTTTTCTTTAAAAAATTTCAGAAAATTTAAATATATTTTTTCATAATTTGAAATTCCTAGCTTTGTAGTTGAGTGCTCTCAGGAGTTACAAATCTTGCCACATGCGACTGCTCAAATGCGACTGCTAAAATGCTTTTAGGTTCCGAGATGTGACGTTTTTTTGTTTTTTTTTTCAAAATTTCTCCAAGAAATTATCTACAAAGAAATTCGCAAAATTTGAAACTACCAACTTGATGAAGACACAACCTTATTGTCAGCGTATACCCAGGCATCTCAAATCTTGCCTCTAAATATGAATGCTCGAATCCTTTTAGTTTCCGAGATAAGGTGTTTTTTTATGATATATTCAATTTTTGTCGGGAATCTTAAGTTAAAAAAAGTTCACGAAATTTGAAATTCCCAACTGTATAGTAGGGTGCTATCAGGGGCTCTCAGTGCTTGCAAATCTGGCCTCCAAATTTCTCCAGAGGCCCATTAAGTTTTCAAGATGACGCTTTTATGGTTTTTCAAAATGGGAATTAAAGAAATTTAAAAGTTTGAAATTACCAACCCTGTAATTGGGTGCACTCATAGTACACTAAAAGTTAGCAGATTTTGTTTCCAGTATATGCGGTTTTTCATGAGCTGTCTAAAAATATCGAAGCACCGGAGGTGCGTTAAACGCTAGTTTCTTTTAATTGAAGTTTTTTTGTCTAACTTCTTTTTTTTTTACATGTTTTCGTCTGTTTTTCATATACAAGCTTGCTGAATAAGAATAATTAGCTGATATTAATAGCTTGATAGAACATCCTACTATAATGATGAATTTAATTAAGTTCTAAAGAAATAAAGAAAGAATTTATTTTTCCCAAATCAAGTTTTAACACAACATCGTCCAACATTATAAAGAACCAAAATGACCAAGGAGGGGATAGACGAAGGGCAAAATAAATACCCACTGAAAGTCTACCCTAGAAAGTAAAGATTTGATTAATAAATTCTTGATTTTAAATATAATCTTAGTAAATTAATCTGTTGGTAGAAAAATCATGAATTTTAAAAGCTTTTTGACTTTCACAAACATTTGATCATCTAAAAAATTTTACGTTTGCTATTCTAGACCTCTGAGTATGCCAATTTATACAACCGGGAAAACATCTTCACGTCTAAGGACGGGGGAGGCGCGGGCAACAACTGGGCCTCAGGTCTTACACAGGCAGAGGGGTTCCACGAGCCTATCTTTGATATAATTGACAGGGAAGCAGAGAACAGCGACTCCATGGAGGGGTTCGTCATGTGTCACAGCATGGCCGGAGGTACAGGCAGCGGCATGGGATCATACTTACTCGAACGACTCAACGACCGGTTTGGGCTCTTTTTCCTTTTACTCTATATGCGATCTTTCGTTCTAAATTTTCGCTCTCAATGTCGGGGGCGCTCAACAGTGACGAAACTGAAAATGTGTTCAACAGTGCCAAAAAATGAGGATATTTGAAAATTTTGAGTTCGCTTTGCGAACTGGTGGCAATTTATTTGAATACTGTTTTGTCTTGAAGCGAAACCGAGAGGAAAGTTTGACAATCTGCTGAGTAATCTGTTGAGAAAAATGTAACGCCACGCTTGAAGAAATTTTGTTTGTTCAACAGGCGGCATCAATTAAAATGGCCATTTTGACTTTTCAACTTCAGTCGATTTGAATTAATTTACTTTTTACCCATTCGATAAGCAAGGGTATTGCAATCGGGTAGTAAACTTTTTCCCGTAAATAATTTTGTTAACAGGACTCTTCTGGACTCCTGGTGGTACCTAGCTCATAATGCATTCAAATTTCTTAGTGTCTCCTGCAAATTGAGCCTGGAGGTAACGAATACGCCTGGGATGGCAAAGGTCTTGGGTTCGAATCTGACTAGGGCCTGTTTTTTTCAAACGGTAAATATTCCGATTTAAAAAAAATTCGGCCTATTATTTGTCTGCTTATGTTTTGTCAGCTTTGTTTCCGCATCTAAGAATCGTATTTTTTGTTTTGTAAACAATTTTCACTGAAATTGCTTTAAGTGTTTTTGCGTTTTAAAAATCCGGCCGAATTGAAATTTTTTAACATGAATTGTAATTTTACCAACTCGATTTGTCAGAAAACATTTTTCATTTTTTGTCTTTTTATCGGCCTAATTTATATCGTCCTAGTGGCCTCTTATTGTGTCGTTTGGGGGATCGAAAAAAGTTTTTGAGGCAACACAACTGTTTGAGACCGCAAGTGGTTGCGGTTCGTATCCGGTCGGGAACTGTTTTTTTTGCAAACCAGAGTTTTTGTGCTCTTTTCCAGCTATCGTCTATCTGTTTATTTTTGTCGGCTTAGTTACCGTACCCCGACTTTTTCTGAAGGATCAGCTTTATTCCAAGTTGTTGTAACCTCAAAGCTTGAGACGAAAAAGCCCGGTAATTCGTTTCCAATCGAGACCTGTTTTTCTGCAAATTTAAATTTTTAGCCTGATTTATTGTTTTTGCTATTTAGATTTTTGTCGGTCTGCTTATTTTTTGTCGGCTTAGTTCCGCAGAAATGATTTTTGTTTGAAAATTCGGTTTCTTTCTAGTGTTCCCAAAGCTCTTTTTAAAGTTACTATTGGTGCAGGCAATTTTGTTTCGGATATTTTGCGCTTTTGTTGCAATTTTTTATTGACAACAACGATTTTTGATTTTTTTAAAAAAAATTTTTTTTCTGTTTGACATTAATCATTGTTATTCATAATTGTATCGCAAGTAGTGCGACTGTCAGGTTCGTCTTTGTGACGAACTTAAAATCAAAGTTTTCTTTTAGATCATGGTATTTTCACTCCGGCTTTGCAGCCACGAAATTCTTTACTCATCATATCTACTTAAACTTTTGAGTGAGTTTTTATTATTAGAGCCAGAATGATTGTCTTAGGAGCAGCGATTGCTTTTTTGGTAGTAGGCCAGTAAATCGTTGTAACAGTAAACCGAAAGTGGGCGGACCAGATCAGTAAACCGAAAGTTCGTGATTCGATTACGTAATCACATCAGCTAAAAACAGATTTTTACAATTACGAGTTTTTTCATCAAAATTTAAATTGAATTAAAAAATTAAATGAAGTAAATCTTCCCATGAGCCCCGAAGTTTAAACATTTTTGTTCTAGCTTTGGGTTAATTTATTTTATAAATCTTTCATTCCGCATTTGATGTAATTATTATGTAATTGGGTTTACTGATCTTGTAATTTACTGACACATCGGCGTACTGTATCACCCCGCTTTTTTAGTGATAGAGCCAAAAATTGTATAAAAATGTGTTGAATGACCCGTCTATTTGATATCTCCAAGCAACTTACGAATAGTTAGTTTAAAATTTAATTTTGCAATTGACATGCGTTATCAAATCGGAATATCGATTTTTTTCATGGAAACAATGTGTCTGAAAGAATTATTGAATCATTTGTGAATGTGTGTTTTATTATAAATTCAAGTACTACGTCTTCTTCCGCATACTGGGCACAGCGGCAAAGTCGATGCCTGCTACGACAAAGGTCTTCAGTTTGAATCTGGCCAGGTCCTTTTAGTTTTGTACTTAAGCATATGTATGTACACAGCTACTGTTTCTTTTTTCTTTCGATGTTGTTGTTGTGTCATATGTATAGCATTGTTCTTTTTTGTTGTAGGTATCCGAAGAAGCTGATCCAGACGTACTCTGTGTTCCCTAACCAGAAGGACACCTCGGACGTGGTTGTGCAACCATACAATGTAGTCCTCACTCTCAAACGACTCACCCTCAATGCAGACTGTGTCATCGTACTCGACAACACAGCTCTCAACAGGCAAGTCAACCTCCGCTCTATTTAATCCCCCTGCAGTTCTTGGGAAATAATTTTAAAGAATATAAGAAAAAAGTGTGAGTTTTGAATAAAAAAACACAAGAAAAAAGTGTGAGTTTTGAGCTCAAAGAATGTTTGGATTACGCCAATTAGTTCGAATACCAAATTGTGAAGCTATGAGAAATAGTGAACAAAAGTACAAGATAAGGAGAAAGTTGCAGGTGCTATGGAAAGGAGAGAGTTGCAGGTGCTATGGAAAGGAGAGAGATACAAAATCATAGCCATGTCTAAATCCACTCTTAAATTGAAACTTATTCTTCAAAATTACGGTGAATATGATGTTTTAATGCTTTTTCGATTATCACTTCCCAGGCGTTTGTTAGATTTTAGATATCGATTAATTCTGTATTAAAGACTGATGATGTTCCCTTTTGCATTGTGTTGCTTTCGCCACTTTTTTAAACCGAGAGGCGACAATTCGTTCACAATTGGGGCGACAGTGCACAGTGCGTTCAAGTTGTTCACAATTTTGATAGATATTACTCTTGCGAGAGCAAATTACTTGTAATCGGGAATTAGATTTTTTCTGTACACATTTTTTCTACACATTTGTGAGAAATTGTGAAATTGTATTATTAGTGAACCTCAGCAACTTGAGACTACTTCCCTCTTGGCCTAGAGGGAACGCGGTTACTTTCGTACCCTAATGTTTTGTTCTAATCTCGGCAGGACCTTTTTTTTAGTATGTATGAAATTGAAAAAATTTGTTCCTGGAAAAATTGAAATGTCGGACTTTCGTTTTTCTGATTGCTTTGTCGGCAGGTTGCCACATCGGAGAATTTTTTTGTGCTATCAGCAATTATCATCTTAGATGCGAGTGGTTTTGATTTACTCCTTGGTTTTCCTTTTCGTTTTTTTTTTCTCTTGAAAGCTTTATTTGGCTTGAATTGTTACGATTTATGTTTCATCGGCTTATTTACCACATTATGTAAGGCTTTAAGAGCAAAAATTGATTATTTTTTTTCGAGAAACTTTGGTACTTTGTGTTGCAAGATTTCGAAGTTTTAAAACTAAATTGTTCGAATATTTTATCACAACACTTTCTTATGGCATTTTTTTTTGTTTTCAGCTCAATGTGTGTCATACTATTTGCCGTTGGCTTTGTGGCCGCTCAGTAAAAACTAGTGGCTTAATTAACTAAGTGGCTATTTTTCTGAAATTATTTTCATTTTTTCCTCAATTTTTATTTCCGATTTTGTTATTTTCGTCTCATTACTATTAGCTAGCTTGCAGAGGTGCACGTGGGTTGTATCGCAAGTGATGCGAAGCTCCGCTTCGCCTCTGCGTAAAATTTGTTATTCTGACTAATTGGGGTAATCCAAGCGACAATTGGGCGGAGGCGACTATTGAGTGCATTTCAAAATGACAAAATTTCTTCGCAGCAGTATTTGGCAATATAAACAAGGTAATTCAAAACAAGACTGCTCGTATATCAGGGCGAAGCCTTGGATGTTTCAAATGCACTTTAAAGTCAATTAAAAACTGTTTTGATTGAAAAATTGACCCAATAATTGATAAAAAAAATATTAAGTTTTTTTTTTCGTTTTTCTTCAACGTATCCCCCAACACGTTAGCGTCTCGTTTTAATTAATCAGACTCAATTGCGGGTATAAATATTATCAGGAACGCATAAATCCGCCGCTGATGCGTGTTATACGAACGCAAAAATCGCGAGTTAATTATCCCAAATTGACCAATTTAGCTGTTTTCAAACCCCCGTAACTTTACAAAAAAGGATCACAAGTAATATATAAAAATAATTTATTGAAATTTGACGTCAGCACAACATAATCTTTCAGCTGGTTAAAAAAATTTATCAAAAATGCTCAGTTAAAAAGTCGAAAATTGACTGAATAAAAAAAACCACCCTAAGCTTAAATGTTCCGTACTTTCTTCGAAAGTCGGAACAATAAAGTGGTTTAGCACTTTACAGCAACCAAAATTTTATAGCTTTGCTGATTTGGGATTCGATTTGGTATGTCCAACGGAACTTCTAATCAAGGAGTTCTAATTAAATTACCTAATTAAAGTGCCTAATTTAATTGTCTTTTTATAGTTTTTATTTATGTATTGCTATACCCTTTTTTACAGTGAAACAACTGAATTGAACTGTGTATGTTTTGAGTTTTTCAGACAGAGTTTGTCTCTCAAGGTTGCTCTAAAATGCAAAATTTCATGCAATAGTTGACAAGTGCAGATTGCTTTTTTAACTAAATTGTGTCTGTTCCAACATTATGCAACTGTTTATCTTGTAGGATAGCAGTGGAGCGGCTGAAAATAGAGAATCCGTCGTTTGCTCAAGTGAACAGACTGGTGTCCACGATCCTGTCTGCGTCCACTGCCACTCTGAGATACCCTGGATATATGAACAACGACCTCATCGGACTCATAGCCTCACTAATACCCACCCCCAAACTACACTTCCTCATGACAGGTACAGGGTGGGGGAGGAGGGGGAGCTTTTTAATTTACTTCCGCCTTCGAGTTCTTACAAGAAGAATTTTTGATCACATTGTCCGATTGCTCTTACAATTGCGACAACAAGTGTCTTGTAATCGGAAACTAGACTTTTTTCTCGTAAACAGCTTTTCTTACAAATTTTCATCTGGGCTTTATTATTGAACGTTAACAGCTTCAAGGTTCCTTCCCAGTTGGCCTAGAGCTAACGTGGTCGCCTTTGCACCCTAAGGCGTTGGGCTAGAGTCCCGGTCGGTCCTTGTTTTTTTTCAGTATGTGTGCAACTGAAATTTTTTGTTCAGGTAAAATTGAATTGTCGGTCTTTAGTTTACCCGCTCAGTTTTTGTCGGCTTAGTTACTGCATCACTGATTTTGCTTGCGCTGTAAGCAACTTTATTGTTGTTGTAAGTAAAGGTGTTGTTCATTGAATTTCAGGAAGGACTGAAAGCTTTAAAAAAAAATTTTTTTGGTTCAACTTGTGACTGTTCAAATCTTGTCGACTTTGTTTTATCTTCGTAAGTTTTGATCTGTTGCTAATTTATTATTCAAATTTTTTGGCGTGTTTGCCTAGAATGAACTTCTATCGAGGCCTACGAAATTTTGATTTTTGTTATACCTAGTTTTTTCAATGTTTTTCGTTTTGGTTTTCGAATTATGTTTTAATATTTGTGTTGTATCGCAAGTGGCGCGAATCTCCGCTTCTGTGTAAGAATTCACTTGCGGAGTAATTAGGCTATGGCATGCAAACTTGGTCCTCCTTGTAAAATTACTCAGTTTCCCATGAGTATGAAGCTCATGCGAGGTGGGTTAAAAATAAAAAGAGCTGTCCGTCTTCCTTTTTTTCCCACTAACATCTAACCGCCCGTGGGGATGAGTCTAGTTAAATTATGGTGCAGTTTTCTCGGAAAAATTAGGTGCGACAGTTAGAACTTAGTTAGCTTCTATGAACACATAACTGCTGTCTAACATTATAAATTAATAAAAAGGATGCAGTCATATCAACAGGGGACGCTATCGGTACAGCCGAACAATTCTTCAGAGCTACTTACGTTGCGCCTGATTGTTCTCCGCTAAATTTAAACATCACATAGCCGAGTGCAGGGGTGGATCTGGGTCTAAGATTTTCTCGAGAGAAGGGAGATTTTTTCGAGTAAGAACGAAACTATATTGACAAAATGTTTTCGACCGCTGGCAGAGTTTTGGATAATTGATATTTTATTGCTCCTTTCGAAGAAGTTTTGGACTGTCAGGCAAAATTGGATGTCGTAAAATAGTACCAAAGTCGAATTACTGAGGAGTGGAAAATGTTCAACCCCTCCCCCTCCCCCTGATTGCAGATTGCTGAGAATTCAAGCACTTAAATTATTCCTTAATTTCTGCTGTGTTTTTCCGACTTTTGACCGCAATATTTTTGAAAGTCGATTCCAGACTTCATTATGTTGCTCTCATATGTTTCCTGTCACCAAACATTTCATTGGTTTGGTGATCAAGAAACGTGGTGTTTGTTGTGTTTGCGTATAGGCTACACTCCCTGGACGGCAGCGGATCAAGTGGAGTCTTCAATTAGGAAGACGACAGTGCTAGATGTGATGAGGAGACTCCTTCAGCCCCAGAACATGATGGTCAGCATCCCCAGGGACCACAGCAGAGTCAGAGGAGGGGGAGGGGGCATGGGAGATGCGGGGGCCACTAATGTGAATGCCCAGATCAACCACTGCTACATATCCATCCTCAACATTATCCAGGGCGAAGTGGACCCCACTCAAGTGCATAAGAGTCTACAGGTCTGTACAGTAATAATTACTGAAGTACAGTCGGATAGATGAGTTGAGTTGGCTAGGGTCGGCGCCTATCAGTCTCAAGGTCGGTCGTTCAGGGCCTATTCTTATCCATGCTCTCTGATAGATGGAGAGCCATCAGTTATTACCAATCTACAAAAAATACAAAAAAAAGCAATTCCCAACCCGCAGATATATCGAAAAAATCGTGTCTTAATCAGGGACTTGACAGCGTTTCTTGGCTATCTTTCTTTTTCCACCCGCTTATCAAAGCATAGTTGCTGTAAAGAGGTAAACTGCGCGTATTTTGGGCATTTCCGTCGTAGATAGACAGTCCGAACTTAACTACACTAGTGGACAGATTTAAAAACGAGTTCATCTGAAATGCCTATTTTTAAGGACCGTTTTGACATTTTATACTGCGAGTTTGAATAAGTTTCCTACATCGATCGAGTGTAAATGATCTGAGCTGCCCTGCATGTAAGTATCAAAAAATTTGTCAGTTTATTCTGAGTCTAAAGACTCCAGATCCTATATTCCGCAGTTAGTTTTTTTAACGGCGTGAAATTAAAAGTCAGAAAAGTTGAATAACCAAATTATAAAGTCTGCCGTTGATAAGTTTTCTTATCGTATGGGCAAGTTTTTGCTTCGCTTATCCGAGAATTTTGTTTTCGCTTGGCTTATTCGTTGCGAAATTTACTGCAGAAAATGTTCGCATCTGTGTTAATAGTTCATTCGAGTCGAAGTATTTCGTGTTATTGTAGAGAATACGAGAGAGGAAGCTAGCAAACTTCATCCCCTGGGGTCCGGCTAGTATCCAGGTGGCGCTGAGTAAGAAGTCGCCCTATGTGCCCACCTCACACCGAGTCAGTGGACTCCTCCTCGCCAACCACACCAGCATAGCCAGTCTCTTCCGGCAGACCTGCCAGGACTTCGATCCCATGAGAAAGTCACAGGTGAGTTGGTGAATTGATTTTTCACGGTGAATTCTTGTGAAATACTCAATGTTGATCATAAAAAACTTTAAAAAATTGATGCAATCTATTAAAACTTGCATGGTGAACAAACTAACTATTGTGATCAGGTTTGTTCGTTATACTTCACATCGTAACATCCCGCATTTAGCCTATTAACTTGTAAAACACTGAAAATAGACGTTGGAAATGGGGTTGTAAACAAGCCTAAGATAAGATATTGGCGCCGAAGTCCCCGAATTATATATGAGCGAACAAGAAAAGCAAGAAAAATTTTCGTGTGCGTATGTTTGTGTTCTCAGAGGAAGGGGGACTTGATTTTTTTGGTAGGAAGGGTTTCCGCTCAGGTTTTTTCGTCTTTGTTACCGCTTGGTATTTATAATTTCTTTTTTAATCAACCATCCGGTACATCTGGCGTAGAGGTAACGCAACTGGTTGTAACACAACTGCTTGAGCCTGCTTATTTTAGTCGGCTTAGTCATTGTTGCCCGTTTTTTTGAAGGTTTAGCTTTCTTCCAAGTTACTGCATTACCCATGCTTGAGATGACAAAGCCCGGGAGTTTTAACTAGGAACCAAGTTAAAAACCTCCCTTATATCGATCGTTTGAGTAAATGAGTACACTTGATCTGAAGTTGCATTATGGTTTCTTAATTAGAAGGAGTAATGATTGTTCAACAGGCGTTCTTGGACAAATTCAGGAAGGAAGACATCTTCAAGGAGAATCTGGACGAGCTGGATGACAGCAGAGAAACAGTGCAGCAGCTCATAGATGAATACGTAGCCGCCACTAAGCCAGAGTACATCGACTGGGCTGAGAGTGTGTGAAGCGAATGAATTGAACTAAAAACATGTTTAAGATTTGTCTTGTGATCGAATAAAAAGAGCACAGTGATTTGTTTTGGATCTGTCGGGAGTTTTTTTAAGTTCGGGTGGCTATACTTGAGATTTCATCATGTTTATCATTATTTAGATTCAATGAACGTAGGTTGATTTTTCGATCGACGTAGTTAGACGTAGTTCTTTTGATTTCTTTTTAAGTTCCGTTCTTTTCCTTTGTTTAGACGAGCGGAGCATAGTGCGATAGTACGATGCAACATTTTTTTCAATCTATGTCACAAATAAATGTGCTACTTTTGGTGGCAATTGAATCAGTAGGCTGCATTACCATTATAATACCCTGGCTTTTATCATTTGAATTTCAAGTTTTTAACGTTGTTTTTAACGGTATGAAATTTAGCACGGTGAACAAACCAAAGTTGTGAACAGATCTGGTCTTCATACTTTAGGTCGTAATATCACGCATTTAGCCGTTATAATGCGTAAAACAAGTATGGAAATCCGAAATAGACAAACCTGCCTCGAAAAATTTTTATCCTCTAGTGTTGGGTAATTGACAACGACCTCCGTTTTAATTATTGCAACACCGTCGAACCTCTCGCCTTTTTTAAATCTGTGAATATTATTGTCTATAGTTATCCATGTTTTTGCATTTATTACACTTATTTGTTCGATGAATTAAATTTATAGGCGTTCTAGCAGCGTCTTGGTTTCGTTATCTTTGTTCAATCTCACAATTTCTTGAAAATCGGATGATGTTGAATCATCAAGTTTTTGCACACCCAATTTGTGCAAGTGTTCTCCATTTGGTTTTTCATTGTGTCGTGGCGGGAGTGATCTTAGAAAGGATTGAAATCCGTTGTGTAGGCTACGATATGTTCTGATTTCAAATAGAAACAGAAACATGAATTATTTTATTGCGTTCACAAAATGTGACGCCGCCGCCACCACAAAAGAAATATGTTTTTATTCCCTTGCAAAAGGAAGGGAAATGCTATTGGAATAATTCGTATAACGTTTTAAGCATTGAGAATTGAAACGACTATTCTCATTCAATGCGAATATTAACGATTCCTCTCGTAAAATACGAGCATACGAAACTTTCTTCTCGTAAAATACGAATGTACGAATAGAGAATACGAAGTTAAGAAGTAACTTCTCATTTGATACAAAAAGTGGTACGATTTCCCATCTGAGTATAAATAGAAGCTCAAAACTACGGGAATTCATTCCCAACAATATCTCTTCTAACACCAACACCACTCTCTTCAACCACCCCAACCAATCTCTAAAATAATATCTACTCTCAGTAAAAATATCTCTAATCTCACCCTTAAAATAGATATTGAGTCAAAAGGCAACTTGCTGTAAATTCATACTAACTTCTTTTCTAATAAAATATTTCTCAGCGAATTTTAGATTTACTTTCTAAGATAGAAAGTAATAAGGACCCTTTATTCCTAGCAAGCGTTTTGTCCGACGTATATAGTTTTGCTAGCGTAATAAATTGGTGCGACCAGTGAGGCTCACCTTCTAAAAATTCGCAAAAATTGCTTAAGTCTCAAAAAGAGATAAAAAAGCAAAGATTCCAATTGTCTGGAGAATTGTTGAAATTTCTCTTACAAATAAAGAGAAGTAATAAATTTCCAAATCGGAAATTTAAATTTTCTTAACAAATTTAAAAACTTTTCTATCTTTCTTTTTTTAAATTTCAAGCTAAATATAAAATGGCTGATACCCCAATATCCCATCCTCAGGAAAGCTTCTATGAGAACACTCGATCCGCACCTGGATCACTTTCTGAATCCAAAAGACCTAAACGGACAAATCGTCCTACAAACTTTTATGGAACTACAATTCCATCAAGTATAATTGGCAAATTTAAAAAGAAATAATAAACACCAACTATTTATTTGGCAAAAACTAATATTTTTTAACATTCTTTTTTTATTGGCCTTTTCTTTTCTCTTTTATAAATATTTTGTTTTTAATAAAACCACGAAACACCAAAAATAAACATATTTATAAATAGATTTAAAAATAACTTTTATAAAGATTAGATTTTATATCTGTGTAAGATTTGACTAGTTTAACAGCCGCCATCTTTTCCAGAGAGTTTTCAGCGGCCCTACTCAGGCTCCTCACTGCAAACTGCAGCGCTGAATAAGGCCTTCACCAAGCTTGATAGATTTCTTCTAACATGTTATCCAGCTCTATCTTTCTCCTAAATTTTTCTTCTATTGCTGGCTTTCTGAAGAAATCTTCTTGAAACTAAAACAAATTTATATACGATTTCTATGTTGCCATGCCACTTGAATAAAAAAAAATTTTTATATATTTTTTTAAAAAATTGGGTGTATTGTAAAACAAACTTACATCCTCTCCAAAGAATGAGGACAAAAAGTACATTGTTTCTTGTGAAACCACATTGACTCCACTCCATGGGCTCCATAGTTTCTTGGCGAGGAACCTACTCTGAATTGAGCCCAGCTCAAATAATTCCTCGGCATTCAGTACCGGATACTTAAAGATATAACTCCGGTCCATAAATATCATAAATTCCATAGGCGTTAAGTTTGCCCCTTTCTCTACTAGCCCGTCGTAGATTGCCATCCTTCTCTCGACTTCCTTGTCCTCCAGCAAGGCTTCATGTTTGAAATTTAGCTCATCCCGTAAGTTCAAAAACTTCTCCGGGAAGTCCACCAGATTATCTTCAGGATCGATAAAATTCATTTTGGACGAAGAAAAAATTTTTTGAGGATAAAATACAGATAGTTAAAACTGAACGGAAAGCAAACAAATGATGTTGCTTTTAGTCCTTTTTTATGAGGAGATGTTTTTTTTCATTTTCCTCCTCCAATACGGAAGGGAAATGCAGTTGTTAAAAATTAACATCAGCATAAACGAATAAAAATCATTTCACTGCTAGATCTCAACAAATCAAAACTAAGTGGAAAAACCACGATATTAAACCAGAGTGGAAAAAACCACAACATTACAAAACGAATGGCGAAGGAATTACGACTTAAAAAGAGTCAATTCCGAAAGACGCCGAATAACAACGACCAATCAGAGCTTAGATTTGCAAAAAAGCAAAAACAGCCTTTAAAAAACTAACTGATATACAGTTGTTTTGATTCTTGCTCAATTCCACATCTTGCATTCAAAACCTCCTCTCTCTCCAAGAAGTAAATCTGCTAAATTCCTCAACAAAAATTGAAATCTAACTCAGATTTCCCATCACAAAAAATCCACAAAATGACAAATCCAAATAGTGAACTGGTGAACTAATGGACCAAGATCCTGTTCTAACCACTCTCGAGGAAATGCTTGAAGTGAGTACTTTTAAAAAAATTTTTTTTATTATTCACCACCAAAAAATAAATTTGCAAAAAATTTATTTGGTTGGTCTTTTAACTCTAATAATACTTTCGAATCAAACCTCAGCATTTGATCCGAAAGAACAATTATATGCAAATACTGCAAATAATCTTCGGGTTGCTCATTATGATTGTCAACTAATGACTTCTAACAAAATGTTCTCTCTAAATAAAGTAGCACCTTGCAAAGTCCAACCAGAAAATATTAAAGTAACCCATGCTTATGTTACTCTATATCAGAGACATTATCGCAAAAGTAAAAGCGACAATGTGTCGAATCAAACACCAATCAATGCGTTGGTTCTGCGATTCTTTTGATTCGAGTGGTATCGACGCTCGACAAAATATGATCACTACTGATCTCCATTTATCTGCCGATCAATGTAAATCGGCCGCCGACAGAGGCTATCTTAACCTAGGCTATGCTAGTATTGGAAATATTCCTTTCAAATTTAATGTTAAAACAGTAACTAATGCTCATGCTGGCAAAGTTGACGGCAAACATCATAACGAATGTGATGGCCGTTCTTGGATTAATTTGGACACTTTTGAAACTTACATGCAAAATGTAACTCTGACTGTTAACCTCAAAGATGGAACAGTCAATAATTGGCAAAACATTCATTTGCCCTGTCCAGTGTCTACAAATGGATGTGAAACAACATCCTTAGACGCTTTTTCTTATACTTGGGAAGAACCCAACAATTGCATTTTCACTGTTTTAAACAGATTTCCGGCTAAAATGATTCAAAACGAAGAATCATACTATATAATTAAAGGCGATTCTAGCCCGTCTATTCATTCTATCCATACAAGGGATTCACAAAAATTTATGCTACAGGTGATGAATAAACCGCAATCTCTTTGTGGTCATCCCAGAATAGTGTATCCAACTTCGTATGATTCACTTTTTATTGCATACACTGACGGTTTCAATATGGATACTGGAATCCAAGTTAAACCAACCCCAGAAACGGGAACTATTCATAATGCCGGCCAACCAAATTCTACTTTTCTCACATTAAGTGATGATTCGCCGCCACTCCAATTTTCAACTCATCAAATTGACTACGAAGCTCATATAGAAACCAAATTGGACTATTTTCTTTTTTATAGCTTCTACATGCTCAGAACGGCCGAGTTAGCCCTTCTGCAAAATCAATGTGAGCTAGAACGCTCCTCAATATTAAATACTTTAATGCTTTCACTTGAAAGCCCACGTTTGGCTGGCTATATTTTAACTCAGAACCGCTCTATGTTCTTAGAGACCAATGGCAACGTTGCCTGGGTCTACCATTGTCCGAAATTTTATTCACCTTTGCAATTAATGGATGAATGCTATAATCGCATTCCCATTATGTATAAGGAAAATGTTCGATTTTTCGATCCAATTACGCGACAAACTTTTCAGTCGGCAGATCTACAAGACTGCTCCGACAAACATTCAAATCTCTTTCAACTAGATGTTGATGATGATAAGTCCTGGATTGAGTTAACCCCTCAAATTACAAGGGTAACAGGACCATATCTATTTAAACCAAAAGAGATAATTCAAAAGATTAAGCATTCTTTAGCCTCTAGCCAAGGCGCTTCAATCTACACTTATGCTCAAATGCAAAAATTCTGGAATATGATTTCCGATAATTCAGAGATGAAAGGAATACTGCAAAAAGTATCCAGGTCCTTTCTAAATGCTAAAAAATTTCTTTTCACGGACTCATATAGCCCACTAGGCTCTTCCCAAACCATCTATTTGGACTATCTCATCTCTCCAAACTTTTAGAATAACGAATACACCTGTATATTCGGGAAAGTACAATACTATTTAGAAAAATGCGGAATGGTTTTCGCCTCTTTTCTATTTGTGAAATTCATACTAGATTGCCTAGTATTCATAATAAAAGCTATGCATATTCACAAAATCACCGGCCGCTCACTACACTTTGGCAAAGTATTG